ATTCCTCAGTGTTTGCTAAACGTTCTGTAATTTATAAGTCATTATATAGCCCAATACAGCGTGTAGGCCTATGCCATGCCTCATCTTATTCGTTTTTGTTAATAACGTTTTGTAAGCTAGTTTGTCATTGAATCTTACTGTTTTAATGTTGTTGTGCATTTTAATTAAAAATAATAAATCCATCTTCTTTTTTGTCTTAAAAGGTGAAAGGTGTATAGATGTAAGCAAAACAGACAATTATATTTTATTGTAAAACCTGACAAGATCGTGAAATCGAAAGTGAAAGCATCCGAATGCCCGGCTTATAACATGGCAAAAGAGGAACTCCCGCCCCTGGTACATCGATGTATTTTTGAAAAGCAAAAATTAAGTTTGTCCAACTCTAAACCCAGTCCAAAAGTAAATTAGGTTATTAAATAAAAAACTAGCAAAACGAGTTGCGCGGTGTCCCCACCACTTTTCAAAGCAAAGTTAAGCCACTGATCTTCCTCACAAAATAAATATGAATCAATAACATTATAAATTGAAAAACACAAATACACTGGGTGACAAAACATTTATGTTGGAAGATTGTAGTTTAAAAAATGTCTAAAAAAATACCCTATATATATATATACATACATTTTGTTTTGTTTTGTTACTACACATTTTGGGCTGGTATTTTTTTAAATGGACTGTTTTTCGCTGTAGTTGGGCTGGAAATCTTCAGTCCAATCTGGCAACACTGGTTATTATTGTGTCATTCTTCTTGTTGTTATAATCTATTCTAGTGCTCACGTTTTTGGATACTTTAAAGTTGTCTTGTATTTGTTTCTTTTCCCCATAATTCTTGCCATTGTGTCAGTACTGTGATTTTCCCTTTAAACGCTGCCTTGTTTAGTAGTAGCCTACATGAATATCAGCTTCAGGAAGTTCAGCTGTTTTGCTGATTAGTCAGAGCTGCATTCGTCAACAATATTTAAAAATTGGCGCGCCAGGAAGCATCTCGACAGCTGGCGCATGCTCATTGGCTCTCGCGCGCTTCCTCAACGATTGCGACATGATCTGTTTCCTTGCGTTTGAATAACAAGCGTGGTCACGGGCTACGCTAAGGGCAACACTGGGCTGTGAGTACGAGAAGCTGCAAAAGGCTCAGGTGTAAGTGGAATGTAAAAAACACGGTGACATATATATTGCGATATATTGCGTCACCAAAAATGATTGAGGTCATGTACATATATTGCGCGATAAGTCAATATATTTATTATTGCGACAGGCATAGTAGTGGTAAATTTAAAATGTTTTTGACAGCCGTATATGTCTGAAGTATATTTCCTGACCCTGCCTCTGCTTTAATTTCATTGGTTGAATCTATAAACCAATAATTTTCCTTTCTGCCCTCAGAACATTTTTCAGTAAGTAAAACTCCCTTCTGCGTGAATGACAGACCGACACAAGCTTTTTATTTTTATATGTCCATATGCAGACTACGTTGTTTTCATATGTATTTTGTTGTTGTTTTCTTTGTTCAATTTTCTTTGGCTTTTCTCCTGGACACACATTAATACGCACTGTTATATAATTAATTAGTTACTGTGGGAAAAAAAAGAAGAACATTTGTGAGCAGCAGCTTGCAACTAAAATAAAAGGTCATATGAAAAACTGTCATTTTCTTTTAAAAATAAATAAATAAAACAAAAAGAGAGGCTTGTGTCATGCTCTTCTTTATTGTCATTGTACATCAACATGTTTTGTACCTTTACAAGATATAGAACATAAAATGATAAAGAACAGAAATATAAAGATCAACATAAATGACAAATTAAACAGAGTAAGATGCTATACATTGTTCTCCTTGAAAAACCAAAATACAATCACTATTTATTGATTAATTCAGATTTGATATGTTTAATTCGTCAGTTGTTAATTAGTTGGTTTAGTTATTTTTTGGTTCTACAGGTGCATCTCAATAAATTAGAATGTCGTGGAAAAGTTCATTTATTTCAGTAATTCAACTCAAATTGTGAAACCCGTGTATCATGAAAATCAAATACATTATAACAGTGTGATTGATGCTAGAAAACATGTAAAATATTACTGATTGATTCAAATCTGATATTTTTACTCATAAAATCTGGAAATACAATAATAAAAACATGTTTAAAGTATAAGATTGCTGTTCAGATGTCATTTGTTAGATGCGCAGATGTTATCTGGATTAGAATGATACAGAACATAATTATGAAACTGGAGACTAGTTGAAATAGAAACCCAGAGCATCAATTTCATCTCCACTTCTTCCTGTAATGCCATAACACTTTCCTGATCCAACATTAACAATCACAGCATTACCCAACTGATGACATTTGATAGACATTGTTATTCTTTCAGTATTAACTTTTTCAACCACAAATTCCATACCACCAAATCTGTTAAGATTTTTATTTGGCCACAGTGTTGCAGCAACAATTTTATCAGTTGCATCAAATTTAAATTCTTCTTGTTTATTTCCTTCTACGCTACCAACTTTAATCATCTGATAATCCTGGAAAATCACCTGGATTGTGTTCAGTGATGTCACATGGTAGGATGAGGTAAACCAGGAAAGCCCCTGTGGGACAAATGTATTTCAGGTGAATAAAATAACTAAATGATAATAATGGGATATAGGAATAAAAGATGATCAAATCGACTAATCTTCACCCACCTCCTTCTTCTCATTGTAAGTTATGATGATCTTCTCAAAGGTGTTGTAGAAAGCGGACTTAAAGGAAAATTCCTCACCTCCTGTCCCACCCACAATCACAGGTGCTATTGTGAAAGGAATTAAGAGAAAACAAAAGAATAAAGCATAAAAAAGTTTTCTGTGTTTTTTAGAGTGCCAAAATCTGTATAGGTTCACACAGTTTTGTGTTAAATGATTTAGCCAAAGTTAATGCTGCAAGCAGCATTGATAGAGCCCTTGCACCATGGTGTGTGCTGATGGCACTATGACCGTCACACACCCATGTGATCAGCCACTATGAAAAAACTTGCAGCTCAAGTTTGATTGAAATCACACAATGTACTCTTCTTGATTCCCTTTTTGTCACTGATTTAATTAGTGACTATGGCAACACTGTTCAAGATAAGAATTTTTTTCTTCTCAATTTAGCATCTTCAATGTCTTAACAATGTTGACCAATTCAGTGCATGCACTCTTTAAAAAATCCACATACAATCCAAAATAGCCAACTTACTGTTGGTTGGAGATAGTGACTGTTATTTAGAAAGCTGTCTGGCTTGATGAGAATATATGTACATGGTTTGATGACCGTAGGTAAAACTAAATATATTCAAAAGGAGGTACTACAGAGACTGAAATCAGATGATTTGTCTGCACAGCTCTTACTACCTGGCCTCCGTTACACAAGTTTAAAGTGATTCAGGCAAACATAAGAGGATGATTTTACACTTCATTTTGCCAGCAGGTGGTGTTATGACTATAACTGAATATTGGCATGCATATTTCTTCAGGACAGGACTCTCATCAAACCTGTGAAGTTTGGGGCAGATTGGACATTGTATGTTTGAGTTACTATTTTCTGATTCATGGCAAGAGAAGTATTATTTTTGCATATTTTTTACCCAAAATAAAGTGTTGTGAGTATTAGTGAGTGCACACATGCAATGTAATATCTGTTCCATTCATACTGGTAAACGGAGGGTGACTTCCATTCATACTGGTAACCGACGTGCAGTAAATCCATAACTCATTGAAGTCATAAATCATATGACGTTCCAGGAAATCTCTAATATGGACAAAGGCAAATGCTATCGCGTAACTGAATAAAACACAGATAGAGACATTTTAACTAATAAAGCATGAAGACAATAAACAGAGATGGCTTCAAGAAGATAAACCATTTAGTCGCAATCATATGTTTTTTTTAAATTAATAAAATGGCAAGTTCGTTCATGAAACTCTAGATGATGCAGGCTGATAATTCCTTAAAGGGGGTCATATGAGGCTATTTTAAAGATCATTATTTTGTGTATTTGGTGTAACAGAATATGTTGACATGCTTTAATGTTCAAAAAACACATTATTTTTCAAATACTGTACATTATTGTAGGTCCTCTATGCCCGCCTCTCTCAAACATGTAGTTTTCAATAAAGTCCCCTCCTTTGACAAGTGCAGACTGCTCTGATTGGCCAGCTGACCCAGTGCATTGTGATTGGCCGAACACCACAAGCACGCGTCGGAAATGTAACGCCCCTTACCATAATTGCGAGCTATAGTTAAATAATGTCTTTAGTTTTACCATCAGTTCAAGCCCGAAAGGGCAACAGAGTCGCGTGACAGACACAGTGATAATGCAGTACACAAGCCGCGGTTAAGACAGCTGACGTGCTATGATTTCTGACAGGCAGTTCACTCTCCTGTGATGTGACCCTGTTCCCCTCACACACACACACACACACACGACGCGTTACTCTGCGCTGCGCAAAACTCCGCATTTGAAAAGTCAATAGCAAATACTTAAACTAATAACAAAACAGTAGCTGATTCAGAAGCGCCAGATTGTCATAGCAAAATCGGGATTGACCCTTTTTTTTTTTTAAGAAATAGCCTTTGTGCACAGCCAGCCTTGTACACTTCTAGGTTCAAAAAACTGTCGTCCATAAAATGCGTTGCACAAATTCGAACATCTGGGTTGTGCTGTTCTGTTGTAAATAAATATTAACCAATGATTCCTAATTGCATCTACTTCAGGAAGGCCAAATAAAGTGCTTTTGCACTGAAACACATAGGTAGGCGTGGCTGACTCTTAACTTTTATAAAGAATATTTATTTGGATTTGAGACTTTAGTCTTTGCAACTTTACAGATCTTTATGCACCAAGAGCTTGTAACACTCCAAAGAGAAAGGAAAACTTGAAATCGCATCATATGACCCCTTTAACATAACTGATGGTATTCACAGCGTTAAACGACTTGGCACAAGCTGACTGGTTCATGTTGCATACACAGCCAATGAGCTTACTGCTTTACATTTAAATGGCTGGTTAGCATTTTGCAGAGCGCTTTCAGAGTTCCTCTGAAACCCTCCACCTTCCCCAGCTCCACCTGTATAGATCTGCTATGGGTTATTTTATATGCTATTTGTGCAGCAGCAGTATGTCTTAAATACTCACAGCACTGTATCACCATATGCATTGGCAGTAGCAAGTTCCTGTACTTGCTTACAGGAGCAACAATAATCTACAACTAAAACAATAACCAACAGCAGCAGCAATTCAGCAGCAGCAGCAGCAGCGTAGCAGATCTATTCCGCCAAGACCAAATACATTAAAATTGTCACATCCATTACCATGCTAAAATCTTCAGAGAGTTGCCATGATAGAACTATATTTATAATGCAATGCTAATACAACATAGCCTTTATCATTGCATATAGAATGCTATATAAAATAATAATTTTGCATCATTCTGTGATATGAAACCACACCAGATCACAAAAGGATGTTATTTCAAACACTCAGCTAATGTTATGAAATGAATTTGGAGCAAAAAACATGTCAATAAATGATCTCTTTGTTGGACAACAGGTTTGTAAACAGGATGGCACACATTCAAAACCCATGCATGTGTGCTACTGTGATACATTTCTTCATTGCACATACCAATTATTTCATACATATGTCGGACTGTACAGCCTTGGTGCATCATTCCTAGATATGAAGGTGTGTTCGGCTTGAAGCGGCGCTGTGCAGACCGATCAGTGTATGACATCAAAGTACTGCAGAAGTGATTAGAAAGCATGCAGAGCTGTCTGCTCTCTAGCTCTCGCCGTACTTTGATGTCATACACATATCTG